GGTACAAAAGCTGTTTAAAAAAGCAATCTGTTAAACAAACTAACTTGTCTGACATTTTTGCAGAGGAAAGTTAGATTTAGGCACATGCTAAGTAATCTGACTAACCTTTTTACTGGAAATGTCTTAGTCCAATTTTCAAAAGGGTGAGAAAAACCTTACTGAAAAAACGGTCTTATGAAGAGTCTCTGTCAGGCAGTAGGCTTTAATACTCTGCTAATTTACTGATTTAAGTTGAGATTGAGTGTAAAAAGAACAGTCATTTTTGGTTAGGTTTGGGACAGGAAATCCAATTTCAATTCCAATTCTAAAACTTGATGAGGAACTTAGAAAAACTTTTCCTGCAGTGCAGAATAAAAATTGAATGCTTTATACACTGGAAGATGTACACGTGTAAAGTCTTAACTGACCAAGTAGATCAGAGTTTTACAACAGCTTCACTTCCACTGAGACTCAGAGATTTGCTGAGTATTCAAGTAATCAGGATCAATTAGCATAAGTTGAAACATAAAACTCACTGCTCTCATATCTCACATGGTGAGCTCCCATTTAGAAATTTTAGAAGCACTGTGAAGCTTTATGACAAAGGCAGTTACAACACCTGCAATTCCTTTACAAAGGTTAGAAAATAACTAGTTTCTTTTCTCTTTTATGTCTTAATTGTCACTCATCACTACCACCGTGTGAAATCAAGTCCTAGAGACTGAAAATGCTCATGAGATCAAAAACTTAACTTATTCAAGTCCTTAAGTAATAAAACAAATTTACACTATCATATAAATGACATTGTAATTTAAGGTGCTCATCAGCAATTCCGTTATCATTAATAACCATATGAAGAAAATTCAGAATTACTTTCTATTCAGAATTTGCTATTAAATTGTACAAGAAATATTAATATGATGTTTAAGCATTAATAAATGATGAGTTTAAAGTATGCCTACCTATTTGTAAGTTTCCTCAAGATGCATTTCGAAGAGGAAATATTAACTTGTTTCTTTTTCAAATATATATTCTCAGGGGCAATTTCAAACAGAATAAGTATCTTCCTCTTAATAAGTTATTTCAGTGAAAGCTTTTTTTTGTCCCAACAGAAAAAAAGTTGGTTTAACCATCCCTCGTTACCTTACAGTCAACAAGACCCATATATGCCCATTGAGAACACCTATGACAGAGGAATACATACCCAAAACATAAAAGAGGCCCAACAGAGGAAATTAGACAGCACTGAGAAAATGGAAGGAAAGGAAAAGATGCTTTGAAAAAAAATGCATAAAGTATGTCACCTGCTCTTAGTTCTGGTGTCTGTCCCATGAAAAATACAGGTACGTTATTAAGCTTTTAAAATAATATCAACAACATTAAAAAAAGGTCAAGATATAATTTGAGATTATTTTTGGTTTAGAGTTTTAGTTGCAGATGTGCAGACAATAATTTCCACAAAAATAATCACATAATGAGATAATTATCTGTATTTCCAACAAAGTCCGTGATTAAATGAGACTACGAAGGCTTTGATCCAGTAAGAAAGTCATGCTTTTCAATACATAACTTCGTAGAAGAGCATTCTTTTGCCTTATGCATTACATTTTTATCTACTACACTGATAGACTATAAGCTTGTCTTCTTGCATTAAAAACCTGTGAAAAAAATAGAATTATAGCTTGTGATCCACCCCTTATATCATTTGCAATATGTGGTGTGTTGTTAATAAATTTGTGCTTAACTGCTGTCACTATCACTCTTAAAATTAATTTCTAGAAGCTTCCTCTACCTGACTGAAGATTAACCTGTAACTGCTACAAATGATTGATGATAGCTATCACCAATAAATAAGGAAATCAGCCTTAGATTATAACAAATAGATTTTTTTTTTTTTTTGGCTCATACAAAAGAGAAAATAACTTGATTATTGTAAAGGTGATAGAAAGAGATTTGGGCAACAGCTGGAGGAAGGGTATGAAAGTTAAATCTCATGGGTTCTGATTTCTCTTTTTTTTCTGATTATTTTTGGACAAATTTAGTAGGAATGGACTAAAAAATGAAACAGCATTGGCGTTGTCTAGCTTAAGATGCTCTACTGCCTTTAGCTCTGGGTTAAATGCTCCCTATGCACAGCATCTGAGAAAAATTAAGAGTCTAAAAATGGTTAGCTGACTGCACAAAAACATAGATCATAGGTTTTCTCCACTGGCAGTGAGAAAGTAAAAGAAGCTCAGGAGAAAATTGGGGTTTATATCCCCAAGATGCAGAGTGTGGGCCTCTGGGCTAGAGGGAGGTGCCAGTGGACCCCGCTTTCCCCGGCTGCTGGATGTTCAAACTGGGTTTGCTTTTCCTGCACCAGTGGTTCTGGAGTCCAGGGGAGCTGTGTTTTGCTTCCCTCTCGAAATTCCCTCAGGAAAAGGGAGGCTCTGGGTTTCTGTTCCAGTGCCAAATCTGGGAAAGAGCAGAAGCCCCCTCTTCCTGGCTGAATGTGCCAGGCACTGGTTTGTGATGGGGGCCACCATCAGACAGACACTACTTTTATTTTCTGTGAGGTGAGTGTGTGTACCTCCTGGGCTGACCAGCAGGAAGGGTGAGAAAGATGCATCGAGGTTTTTGCTGGTGATTTAGACTCTGAACTTCTTGCCCTTTCAGAGCCTGTGTAATTGCAGGCATATGCAAAAGCTCCCCCTGGAAGTTTAAGTTTACAGATAATATATTGACCAGGGCAAAGCAGCAGTTGCAAGGGTGTTTGAAGTGCTTAAATTTTGCTCCTGAATCCCCACTGCAGCATTTAGCCCCAAATGCCTCTTTTCCAAGGAAAGCTTTTTGTTCAGTAACAGAGCTTTCTATTTTCCCATCCCTTCTGATCCTGATGGTAATGTACCACATACGAAATTTAAGAAGGATTATGATTTCTTTTTCAGGTATCCAGTATACATTCCAGATTCAGCATTTTGGTCAACTTATACTGCTGGAAAAAAAGATCGCTAATTAGAAAATCAAAACTAATACCTCTGCAAATGCCTCGGTGTTCAGAAATCAAATTTACCTAATTGTTAGGTCCCAGTTGTTCTAAGTGACCCAACAGTCAGAAATTAATAAACAGCTAACTCATTCCGTGCAAAGACTAAATGTGAATCTAAACAAGGAAACCTAAAATGAAATGTTGTCATGGTGATATACAGGAAACTAAGCAAACAGTACAAAGCTCCTCTTCCTAGGAGACCTGAGAGACTAGCTCAAAATTTTATCTGTCATGGTTAATTTATCATTTCACTGAAACAGTTGTCAACATGCAAAGTATGTAGAAAGCCTGTAACAGGTACCTTTTGTTTTTTGAGGGCACAGCAGATTGTATTTCCAAATTATAATTTCAGATTCAGCCTTACTTAAAGAGGAAAAAAAAAATTTGGGGAGTTTTTGTTTTTTTTAGATTTTTACTATTTATAAGGGCAATTAAATATTGAGATTGCTTCCTCTTAAGCATGTCATCATGAGGCCACATACTGTGGTGTGTTTGACGTACTGACTTCTCCAAGAAAGGAAGCAAGAAAAGTAGACCTTGCGAAATTTATGCATGCACACTGTTAGATTAAAAAGGTGGTGGTCACAGAACAGAAAAGTCTTATGTATCAGTCCTGGAGCTACTGCTTATATGGAAGGGAAAATAGGGACTCACCATCAGCATGTGACTTAATACACACCAGTTAATTAAATATTGGTTTTAAAATAATCTGAGCCTCAAAAAATCTTTATTTTCAGTGTTTCATGCACACATGTCATCATTAAGACAAGCCATTGGTTTTCAGTGTTTGTTGGGTTAAGCTCTCATTCTGGATTCAAACGTCTCTGAATTAGGAGTATATGACTACTAGCTGGTAAATTGTTGAGGTTAAATTACTTAATAAGTTAATTTCCTGTCTCAGTAAATTCAAGAAAATATGGCAAATGCCAAGCTAGACAGAACATCTGGTTATGTACATCTGCATCTTTTAAGAAGCAATGATAAAAGTTCAGAAAAAAAGGCTACAAATTACTTCAATTAATTGGAGGTACACAAAAATACATTTAAATGAATAAGTCACACTATCTTGGCTTCCTTTTAAACTTAGGCAGACTTTGCATGCTACAAGACTAAAACTAGGGAAGACATCACAACTTTGATATAAATTGAGATGCCACTAGTTCAGCATCACAGTAAGAACTTGGTTGGCTCACTTTTACAAACAGTCTAAAAAAACCACAGTAATGACAGTGAAGTACAGACGCTGCTCCTGATTATTCTTTGCTCTCTTAAACCAGTGGGATGCTGCATGAGGGTGGGGAGTGTCAAGTCCAGGCATGTAGAGAACCTTCTGGCAGGTAAAGTGAACAAAGTGGATCTGGGAACCTTGCTTTGCAAGAGATTCTCCACCTCTCTGTAATTATCTCCATGGGAGATGGCTGTAGCCATTAAGCAGGCTGGAATCACGGGATGTGAGTGGTGAGTAGAAACAGGAAGGTCCTTAGAAGTTTCTGTCATGATACTTCACTTCAGAAATATTGGCGTTAAATAAATGTGTTAGAAGGAAAATGTCCACAGTCAGGCTATGCAAGAATTCCCTGGGCATGGGTTTTAGGTGCCATTTCTGACAGAAGTGGAATGTATTTTTGTTGGTTTTTCTAATATTTGATTTTATTTCTTACAGAAAATTATTACAGTTACATTACCTGTGACTTCCTATTATTTTTTTCCTCCATTGAGCCTTTATTAGTTTTAAAGTTCATGAATTATTAAATGCATCTTTGATATAAATATAATTAAAAGGTGTTACTGTATTGTTCCCAGTGACAGACATAGTTAACAACAACCTTTCTGTTTTATTTGGAAAGTTGTATAAATGTCTGGGGAAAAATAATCATTGCCTATTAATATCTCAGGAAGCCAAAACATCTCAGGATGTTTGCATCCAAAGGAAGCTCTACAAACTGACGACCCCTATAGTGTAACATTTCATGGAGAAAAGCTGAGTATTTACCCCTTTTATGTAGAAGAATACTAGCATGGCGGCGTCCATTTCCATTTTCAACATAGCATGAGTAATTCCCCAGGTCTGCTTCTTCTACGGAATCAAGAATCAATGAGATGGAAACCTCCTGTTCCCCAAGATGCTCCTTGAGAACCCTGAGAAAAAATCAACCATTGCTGCTATTCTGCTTGTATCACAGCAAAGCATTAGAGAATAATGACATAATAATGCTACTTAAAATTCACAACTCTCTGGCTTCAAATTTGGCTATGGTTTGATGAAATCTTAATTAAATTATATCATGCCCTTTTCTTCCTCACTTCTAATGAGGAGGTTTGGCTTTGTAACTGTTAATGACAGCTTCAGTTAATTGTCTTCTTGAAGCAGAATGATATGCACACTGATAATATATTATTGCACACTGATGGAGGCCCTGATCTATAGTATGTGAAATCTTGTAATGTTGGAAGAGAGAAAAGCGTAAACAGTTATTTTGGGGTGCAGGCTCACACTAGCAGTCTAGGCCAAACATGCTATTTGCACACTTTCTGCAGCTCTTCAACAGGCCACTCAGAAACAGGGTATTCAGGCCAGGGTCTGAAAAATTATTTATTGAAAGTATTACAAAATTTGAATGTGTATTATAAATCAGTTAAAAAAACTGGCATACCAGATGCCACTTGTTCATACAGATGATAAATAAAGACCTCCTGCATAAGACTTCATCTGTCTTCACTTTGCTATCTTTACCTCTTAGCAAGCTCATCAGTGGTTTTAGAACCAGCAAAGCAAATGACAAACTGCTCTAGACTGCTCCCTCACTTCACACCTGACAAAAGGAGTGGAAACCAGCCTTCCTGCTCCTCCCTTCACAGAATAAAAAAATTGTTAATTAGGTTCTTGTCACCTTTTCATCAGCCTTCAGAATGCCAGGTCTCTGGGTGAAGGGCTTAGGAAAAGCTTTAGATGGGAAATATAACTGATCTGGATGTAATGCGCCATTTAGTGTATTGCTCTTGAGCTTTATAGAATAAACTTGAAGTATACCGTGGTGAAATATGCTTCCAATTTGCCTATATCTAGGAGATGGAGATAACCTTGGATGTTTACGTGGCCTGCTTGATTTTGGTAATTATCTTTGTTACTTAGGTTGTACTGAAGAAGTCCAAGGTTGAGCTGAAAATGAGTGTGACTTCATGTCTTTTGATGAGATAGTAAACTCCTATGTAAGAGGTGAAATGTAAGGAAGCTCATTTTGTTCTATTATAGACAATCACTGTAGAGAACACACCTGTGATTATTTAGCTTCCTTTTTAATGCACATTTAGATTTGCCTTTTTTTCTGGGTGATATACAACTATTTCACAGTGATATACACATATACAGAATGATAAATGAAAAAGGAATCTCTTCAGATCCAGGTAGATACTTCAGATTGAATTGGTATGGTATGCTATGTCAAGCATGTAGTTCTCAATATAAAACTGCTTTTTTCTTAATTTCCAAATGAGGCAGCACTTTTAGGAACAGTAAAAGTACATGACGCAAATTGACAGATCCTCTCTAAAACAAGTACTTCAGCAGATATAAACAGCCTACATAACAGGATGCTTGGCTCTCACAGGCCAGATAACATCCCAGGAAATTCAGCTTTTTCCTTGAAGAAAATAAATCAAAACATTCCAAAAAAGAAGCCAGGCTTCATAATTTATTTAAAGCTCTATGTTTTATAAGACTTATTTTAAGCTGTTTTCTTTGATGTATTTATTCTTCTTTATTTCATCTTAGTAACTGTCTTAATGGTTCTTATTGTAAATTGCCACAGTTTAAAAAAGTCACTATGCCAATTCCAGACGATTACACTGCAGTACTTGTTGGGCAGCTATTCTACTTTTACAGCTCTCTAACACCAGATCTGGCCAAGGCATGCATTTTTCTGTTCTCTACTGGTGAGTTGAAAAGGTAGAGTGGATGTTACAAAAACAGGGATCAGACCCAAAGTGTTCCTCAGTTAGTGTGTGATAATAAGTGTTACATTAACTACCAAAAAAAGATAATGACCGAAAAAAAAAAAATTCTTTTACCTGATGTCACTTTCCCAGACTCGACTATCATCCAAATCTTCAATAAACTTCTCCCCTTTCATCCAGTAGATTAAAGGACTGACATCTCCACTGTATCCAAAGAAAGCTCGGCAGGTTAGATTAGCAGAACCACCTGTTACAAAGAATGCAAGAAAATATGTTATTTCAAAATTTGTAAAAAAAAAAATAAATAAAAAAATCATTTTTTATTCAGTTGCTTTTATTGATTAAAAAAAAAAAATAAATCTGTAGAGGTCCTCAATTTCCAGGTGCTGTTGAAAACATCCAAAAATATCACTTGTCTTGCAACTGTTGTTCAACATATTTTCTGAAAATAAATACAATAAAAATGAAATTAAATGTTATACAAAACCAGGATTAAATTTTGTATTCGTTCACCAAGTTTTCTGTGTTTGGTGCCATGAGAAGTCCATCTGGGTTCAATGAATTTCCGTAAAAATACACCACTTTGTGTCAGGACATGGTCCTTCTCAAACATATGACACTAATATTTGAACATCTTTATTCCTTTTTAGTATGGTAAAAAATGCAGGATGCTGTATAACAAGATTAATTATTAAATAAATGTCTTATTTATCTGAAATGATTTGTGGTTTTCTGTAACAGCATATGACTCCTCTACCTAGCTTGAACTCACATTCCCATCATAAAAGGTGCTGAACCAAACATTTGCAAACAAAATATACAACATCAAGGCAAGTACCCTCTATGTTGCTTTCACAAGCTGTTTAGGAACTGAGCAGCTTTTAGTTATTATATGGACTTCTGGTTAGTGCCATACCCTTTGCCAGCAATGCCTGCTAAGGAGAAAGGAATATCCTAGAACTTGAAACTAAGATGGAAAGAAGAGTCTCATTCGAAATGAAATCAAATCTGTGGCTAATAAGACATTTTGATAATTTCATCTCGTTATACCAAAGTTACCAAATGTAAGCTGAAGATCTTCAGTAAGAGGGCAAAAACTCTCTTTGTAAAGACAATCACAGCTTCTGTTTCCACAGCGTGGGGAGCAATGGTCAGGACACCTCCCTGCAAACCCACCTCCTCAACCTCTACACAGCTCAATAAGTGCTCTTTGGAACCACTGAAGAGAAATATTTTTGCAATCTTGAAGCTATTTGCGGAGAATGAGATGAATATTGGGTCACCACTTAATGTGGGTCAAGTACATGGAAACCTGTAATGGAATATGATAAACTTCCTAGTTGTTCCCAGGACATTTTAACAGATGCAAACCCAGTTGTTTTAGCAGTTGCATAACAGATAAGAACTAACTTTTTTGTTTTGTTTTGCATCATAATTATGACACATGAACCTGTGAAAATGAAAATACAAAACCTTGTATTATTAATATCTTGGCCACAATCATCCAGTCCAGCACATACTCAGGGCCATGAAATGCATGATAATCATAGCATTCATGGGCTCTGATCGCTCTTGAAACAGAAGGCACCTGCACATCTAAAGCAAAAGCAAGCTCCTGTGACTCCATAACCCCTATGGCATTATCTACCAGTCTTAGAGGAAAGTGTGCTACCTAATGCATCACTGCCACTTCTTGGGCTTTTTCTGGAGCTTTCCCACCAAGTCAAGGCCCAGTTGAAAATTTTTAGCTTTTAAGAGCTGGCAAGATCACAGCTGGAGAGACTGTAGCTTCTGGCCAATTTATCCATGATTCACAGAGATTAGGCATCACAGGCACTGAACTATCAAAGTTCTTCAGGCTCCTGCAGCTAACAGGCAACCACTGAGAACTGATTTTTGCACAGTGCAGGCCTCTAAGCCTTTTACAGGTGAATGTTAACACATGTAGATTTGTTTTTTTAAAAATACACATATTTTGTTAAGGGCAAAAGATAAGAACATAAGAGCTTGTAAGATTAAGGCTTATTTCCTCATTAAATTCTTAAAAGAAATTTCCCACTTAAAAAAAATATATAAACATATTTTTAAACACAGAATCCAAGGTTTCCATTCAACCTGAAATATTTACACCTCAGAAATAAATTAGGATGAATGTAATGCCTTTTAGTAGTACTGTGTTGCTTATACCTTTGCTGAGGAAAGGTCATTAGCATCCCAGGTGTTCAGCTATAAATTACTTATACTGTCTACCTTGACCAGTCTTCACAATAAGCCAGTGGGAAGTTCATTAGCAGGTCATTGAGAAAGATTCAGGGACCAGCTAATGACCAACTGTGACCATTAATGGGGAGGTCTGTTACTCTGGAGCTCCCAGCTCTTTGCAGAGGGTAGTGGAGCTTATTTGTTGGAGCAGAGATGCTCACAGCTTCAGGTACATGTAAGTAATGGGCAAAGGTTGACTGAAGAGCAGCATTTTAAATGAACAGAATATTTTGGGAGCATATTTTGATCTGTGGTCCAGAGCTGTCCTCATGTGAATGAGTGTATGCTGTAGGCTAGGCTGCATTTTTGCCTAGAATCGCACCTTTGAAGTGAGCAGTCAGAGGATGCTGAGATTGGCCTAGAGTGTCTGCTTTACATGGGCACTCTGTGTTTAAGAAGTCTGCATATTTTTAGAAAGCATACAAGACTTAAGTAAATAAGTGCATTTAAGTAAAAAAGCTGCTTCATGTCACGTATAAACTAATGTACAAACCAACCTATCAGCCAGTTAATAGAAATCACTCACAGTTAACCCAAAACCCTAAATCTCTCCATGTTTTCTATGCTGAGAAAAACTATAAAAGTGATTTGAAAACTATAAAAGTTTGATGAATTAATATGTAATGTTTTCTATGTCATTAATTTAATTTTTTTCTGCAAATGCTGGATTATTACAGTTTTATAGTCTATCTTTGAAGGAATTTAAATACATATTTTCAATCCATATCTCTCTCTTGGTCCCCTTTTCTGTGAGATGTTGTAAATTCTTGAGAATGTTCTGTCTCAGTTAAGGTGCTGGGTAAACTACCTTTTTTAATGGACTCTGGAAAAGTCCAAATGGATGAGATTAGAATTATTAAGTGAAACTGATAGTACTGAGGTTTTTATTAACACATCCTACCCCCCTACCCAAAAAAATTCCAACCCCAAACCAAAAAAAACCCCACCAAACAAATACCCAAAACAAAAAGCCAAAACACTGTCAAGAAAAAGTAAAGAGAAAAATGATACTTTTGACTTCTCAGTATAATTATAATTTTTTACTGTGAAGTAATACAAGACATGTAAGAGAACACTTAAAAAGTAAGCTTCAACTGCATATTTCTCCATCACTCTTATTTCTGAAGATAAATATGCTCTTATTCTATTGAGCTGATTTCTGGAAAAACTGGAATATATAGCACTTCTTGTTCCTGCTTCTTGCTGTGATAAAGTTGCACTGTCAACTCTAGCCAACTGGGTTCAAACTAAATTAATCAAAAGCTCTTTGCCACCTAAACTGTGAACAATTTTTGTTACACAGTATGGTTTCAAGTAGAGCAGAATGCAAGTAGGAACCACAACAAAGTGTACTTCCTTGAAACCATCAAATCCCATCAGCAGAGCAACATACTGGTTTTGCATCTGTTTACTCTAATTGGCAACATTTGGGGTATTTTGCAAATTACTGCTATGGGAGCCTATGTCCAGGAGAGGGCACTGTCTAACGTCTAAAAACTTAATATTTTTAAAAAAACAACCAAACAAAAAACCCAACAAAATAAAACACGGAAGTAAATTCCTAGTGTATTAGCTCTAATCAAAAACATCAGCCTGCTAAGAATCTGCTACTTGTAATTAGCAAATAGTGAATGTTTTGTGGTTAGTGAAATGTCATCTCGTATGGGCAGTTTAAATTACACTTGTACAATTAGTCATATGATTTAGCATACACTGTGATGTAATCCATTCTAGCCTTTGATTTGACAGATTTGTCATTGAAAGGTAATCATTTTTGTTGGAAGCTATTACAATTATCAGGCACCTTCTGCAACATCTTTTTTAGAAAGATCTTCAAAGATGTGTTACAGAAGGAAGGTGTTTGAAAGCCATGATCAGCATCTAGTAATATGGAGGGCCAAAAGAGTGGAAATTGTAAGCATACTGAAATATGGGACTTTCTTTTACTGTACAATGTAAACCATTTATAAAACTTATGTGCAGGCAATATCTACACACTTGTAAGTATGCCATTTATTTGTAATATTAACACTTCAAAATGAAATTAGGTCAAGGCCGACACAATCAAAATCTCACACACACAAATTAAATACCATTCTTTCTGTTCACGTTAGAGAAAAATTACTGACAAAATATCAGTCTTCCAAGTGGAGAGATGTAAAAGCTGTTAAATTCCTCGGTGTGATGGATAGGTGGCAATTCCTCACAAGGTCAATGACCCACTTGTTTTGCTATTGTCATTTGCCAAGCCCAGTAGGCAGAGGTGTAGAAACTGCCTATATTTTCAGAGAAGTCACATATCTTAAGACAGTTCTTGAAAGCTTTCTTGTAAACATGATTAGGAAAAAAAAGTTATCATTTACTTTTCAGTCATAGGATCATATTCAAGGGATCAGTAAGACTTTCCCTAGAACAGGATGAACTGCAGAGAGTTCTCTTAATTCCTTCCTTGTTTGCACAAAGCACCACCTACTGCTATGCTGCCCTCCAGTTTACATACAGATTTTCCCTTCTTAATACCTTGTACACTCTTACCAGATTGCAACTGTCTTGCTGTATGTTTCATATAGAAGGTTAGGTCTAATTAAACAACAACAACAACAACAAAAAATAATGTTGTTTACTGAAATATAACTGCAAGCTGGGAACTGCTAAATTCTAGTCTTGTCACTGAGTGGTAGGTTTTGAAGTCTTTGGGCAGGTATCAGGTCTTGTATGCATACAATTGTGAAGATACAATGTGCATATTCTTCCTACTTTGAATTCATTGGATGTAGGTTTGAAAGGCTGAGTATTATCATTCCTCTAAATATTATCATGCAAGCATTATACAAAGTGGCTGAATGTGATAGCACAGCTGTATCTCTTCATTATAGAAGATCTGTCCATATTTTGCTATGCTGTGGAGTGGAATGTTGATTGCACAGGACTGAACTACGTATCAGGTAAGTTCTTGAGGTCACAAATGGATAAATTTAGAGGACA